TTAATAATACATAGAAGTTGAAACACCAGTTAATTTAGCCAATCACATGCATTTGCTCGGTGTGGAGTCTGGGCAGGCGCAGTAGGCGCATCAATAAATACTAGCGCACCAGGTCACACTTGCGGGTAATTTCAAAATAGCCTTGCAAGAAGAATATTCCAGTTCGTGTAGCACTCTATTGGTTGGGGTTATTTTTGCTGGAGAGGCGCAGTGAAATTTCAAAACAAATTACAAGAAATTTACCGGGTTCCAGGACTGTACTCACTGGACGGATTACCGGTACTTTCCGATATGTTCATTCCATCTTGTAGTAATTATGGGTCTATGCAGCAATCATCGGATAATATTGGACATTTTCCGTCGATTAAGTAGCCTAGCGGCGACTTCGTATTTTAGACTTGATCTGCCTTACTCGCGTCCGAGAGCTTCAGCGCCAGGTAGAAAAACGCAGCTCCTTAAATAAAGGCGTCATTTTGGGCTCAATTCCTGAAGTAGGATTTAATTTAGGGGACAATACTCAGCTTAGAGCAAGTTTGACGTAAGGTTTGAGCCCAAAATCATCATCTTTCCAAGTATGGCTTCATCAGTAATATTGGCGAGAAATAGAGAAAAATCGATGAGTACTGTGAATTTTCCGGAAATGGAAGATATCTTGGATTTCTGGGTGTTTCGTATTGCTGGTTTAGCAAACATTATACTTTAAAAATATGTTTCCAGTGTAACGCGCAGACAATATACTAGATCATATAGTATTTTACTACTCGCCCAAACCCCCTAGAGTCGTAACTTACGGCATAATTCGAATAACAATAGAATATGAGATTATCAATACTTTAATCAAGTCAATGCTGAAGCCAAGCGGTATTTTTGGATTTCCAGATAAGAGACAAAAATCTGATCCATCGAACAAAAAGGGATATGTTTCCAGGCACAAATTGTCATTTTGCTCCGTTTTTCCAATCCACCGGGCTTCACAATACCAACAATCGCACGAAATTTTCTAGGCTTCGAACCAGGTTCTCACGCCACTAGAGCAAGTTTACGACATCTTGTATCATCTAGTTAGGGAAATAGTGTAGAATGTACAATCAATGTATGATATTGATCAAGAAACCATTCAAAAACTTATTCATCCATCCGCAAGGCAAACATCTGCCGCATACAAATATCTCGTGACATGACTAAGTCGTACGATAGGTTTCCACTAACCTTGGGGTCAAACAAACAATTTCATTAATGAGAACTTATGCAGTGACCATCAGCTCGATCCGCAAAGGGACGAGGAGAGCGGTGCCCCCAAAAGATGATCATGCAATAAGCCTCATCAATGTAACGTTGAATCACCCTTGGTCCCCGTAACCATAGACGCAGACAGCGTTGCCACCGATTCCTTGCAGAGTCTTGTGTACGTCTTGTACGCATCGGACACCCACTGCCCGTGGAACTGAATCGTCAGGGCATCTGTACCTGTGCGATACATGTGCGTCACACCACCGGAGCGCAAGGAGTGCGAGCTGAAGCGACGCGGGACTTTGCCTATGCCGCTAGCAGCTGCCTTGATAATATTGGAGACGTCTTCAGTCGAGATGGCCATCGGTTTACCACGGCGTGACATGAAGACCGCGGCGGGAATGTCGGCGGGGAGGTCCTTTCTCGCTTGTAGTAGGATGAGAGCTCCGAACACGGGACACAAGAAGGGATGCCCAGATCGAGAGAGCATTCTCGTAATTGGGGCTCCGCCTTGGTTTGTCTTCGATCCCACCAAGCGAATCCACACTGAATGAGCCTCAGACGGAAAAGGGGTCTCAATGCCGTTCGCATCTACCGTCACGATGTCCTAAGCCCGTAGGGTAAACCACTTGAAAGATCCTCCGCTGATT